ACAGACGGTCGGACCGTCAGGCAGACAGACAGACAGACGGTCGGACCGTCAGGCAGACAGACAGACAGACGGTCGGACCGTCAGGCAGACAGACAGACAGACGGTCGGACCGTCAGGCAGACAGACAGACAGACGGTCGGACCGTCAGGCAGACAGACAGACAGACGGTCGGACCGTCAGGCAGACAGACAGACAGACGGTCGGACCGTCAGGCAGACAGACAGACAGACGGTCGGACCGTCAGGCAGACAGACAGACAGACGGTCGGACCGTCAGGCAGACAGACAGACAGACGGTCGGACCGTCAGGCAGACAGACAGACAGACGGTCGGACCGTCAGGCAGACAGACAGACAGACGGTCGGACCGTCAGGCAGACAGACAGACAGACGGTCGGACCGTCAGGCAGACAGACAGACAGACGGTCGGACCGTCAGGCAGACAGACAGACAGACGGTCGGACCGTCAGGCAGACAGACAGACAGACGGTCGGACCGTCAGGCAGACAGACAGACAGACGGTCGGACCGTCAGGCAGACAGACAGACAGACGGTCGGACCGTCAGGCAGACAGACAGACAGACGGTCGGACCGTCAGGCAGACAGACAGACAGACGGTCGGACCGTCAGGCAGACAGACAGACAGACGGTCGGACCGTCAGGCAGACAGACAGACAGACGGTCGGACCGTCAGGCAGACAGACAGACAGACGGTCGGACCGTCAGGCAGACAGACAGACAGACGGTCGGACCGTCAGGCAGACAGACAGACAGACGGTCGGACCGTCAGGCAGACAGACAGACAGACGGTCGGACCGTCAGGCAGACAGACAGACAGACGGTCGGACCGTCAGGCAGACAGACAGACAGACGGTCGGACCGTCAGGCAGACAGACAGACAGACGGTCGGACCGTCAGGCAGACAGACAGACAGACGGTCGGACCGTCAGGCAGACAGACAGACAGACGGTCGGACCGTCAGGCAGACAGACAGACAGACGGTCGGACCGTCAGGCAGACAGACAGACAGACGGTCGGACCGTCAGGCAGACAGACAGACAGACGGTCGGACCGTCAGGCAGACAGACAGACAGACGGTCGGACCGTCAGGCAGACAGACAGACAGACGGTCGGACCGTCAGGCAGACAGACAGACAGACGGTCGGACCGTCAGGCAGACAGACAGACAGACGGTCGGACCGTCAGGCAGACAGACAGACAGACGGTCGGACCGTCAGGCAGACAGACAGACAGACGGTCGGACCGTCAGGCAGACAGACAGACAGACGGTCGGACCGTCAGGCAGACAGACAGACAGACGGTCGGACCGTCAGGCAGACAGACAGACAGACGGTCGGACCGTCAGGCAGACAGACAGACAGACGGTCGGACCGTCAGGCAGACAGACAGACAGACGGTCGGACCGTCAGGCAGACAGACAGACAGACGGTCGGACCGTCAGGCAGACAGACAGACAGACGGTCGGACCGTCAGGCAGACAGACAGACAGACGGTCGGACCGTCAGGCAGACAGACAGACAGACGGTCGGACCGTCAGGCAGACAGACAGACAGACGGTCGGACCGTCAGGCAGACAGACAGACAGACGGTCGGACCGTCAGGCAGACAGACAGACAGACGGTCGGACCGTCAGGCAGACAGACAGACAGACGGTCGGACCGTCAGGCAGACAGACAGACAGACGGTCGGACCGTCAGGCAGACAGACAGACAGACGGTCGGACCGTCAGGCAGACAGACAGACAGACGGTCGGACCGTCAGGCAGACAGACAGACAGACGGTCGGACCGTCAGGCAGACAGACAGACAGACGGTCGGACCGTCAGGCAGACAGACAGACAGACGGTCGGACCGTCAGGCAGACAGACAGACAGACGGTCGGACCGTCAGGCAGACAGACAGACAGACGGTCGGACCGTCAGGCAGACAGACAGACAGACGGTCGGACCGTCAGGCAGACAGACAGACAGACGGTCGGACCGTCAGGCAGACAGACAGACAGACGGTCGGACCGTCAGGCAGACAGACAGACAGACGGTCGGACCGTCAGGCAGACAGACAGACAGACGGTCGGACCGTCAGGCAGACAGACAGACAGACGGTCGGACCGTCAGGCAGACAGACAGACAGACGGTCGGACCGTCAGGCAGACAGACAGACAGACGGTCGGACCGTCAGGCAGACAGACAGACAGACGGTCGGACCGTCAGGCAGACAGACAGACAGACGGTCGGACCGTCAGGCAGACAGACAGACAGACGGTCGGACCGTCAGGCAGACAGACAGACAGACGGTCGGACCGTCAGGCAGACAGACAGACAGACGGTCGGACCGTCAGGCAGACAGACAGACAGACGGTCGGACCGTCAGGCAGACAGACAGACAGACGGTCGGACCGTCAGGCAGACAGACAGACAGACGGTCGGACCGTCAGGCAGACAGACAGACAGACGGTCGGACCGTCAGGCAGACAGACAGACAGACGGTCGGACCGTCAGGCAGACAGACAGACAGACGGTCGGACCGTCAGGCAGACAGACAGACAGACGGTCGGACCGTCAGGCAGACAGACAGACAGACGGTCGGACCGTCAGGCAGACAGACAGACAGACGGTCGGACCGTCAGGCAGACAGACAGACAGACGGTCGGACCGTCAGGCAGACAGACAGACAGACGGTCGGACCGTCAGGCAGACAGACAGACAGACGGTCGGACCGTCAGGCAGACAGACAGACAGACGGTCGGACCGTCAGGCAGACAGACAGACAGACGGTCGGACCGTCAGGCAGACAGACAGACAGACGGTCGGACCGTCAGGCAGACAGACAGACAGACGGTCGGACCGTCAGGCAGACAGACAGACAGACGGTCGGACCGTCAGGCAGACAGACAGACAGACGGTCGGACCGTCAGGCAGACAGACAGACAGACGGTCGGACCGTCAGGCAGACAGACAGACAGACGGTCGGACCGTCAGGCAGACAGACAGACAGACGGTCGGACCGTCAGGCAGACAGACAGACAGACGGTCGGACCGTCAGGCAGACAGACAGACAGACGGTCGGACCGTCAGGCAGACAGACAGACAGACGGTCGGACCGTCAGGCAGACAGACAGACAGACGGTCGGACCGTCAGGCAGACAGACAGACAGACGGTCGGACCGTCAGGCAGACAGACAGACAGACGGTCGGACCGTCAGGCAGACAGACAGACAGACGGTCGGACCGTCAGGCAGACAGACAGACAGACGGTCGGACCGTCAGGCAGACAGACAGACAGACGGTCGGACCGTCAGGCAGACAGACAGACAGACGGTCGGACCGTCAGGCAGACAGACAGACAGACGGTCGGACCGTCAGGCAGACAGACAGACAGACGGTCGGACCGTCAGGCAGACAGACAGACAGACGGTCGGACCGTCAGGCAGACAGACAGACAGACGGTCGGACCGTCAGGCAGACAGACAGACAGACGGTCGGACCGTCAGGCAGACAGACAGACAGACGGTCGGACCGTCAGGCAGACAGACAGACAGACGGTCGGACCGTCAGGCAGACAGACAACCCCTGCCGTCTCGGGCAGCTAGGGCTGGGGAGGAAGAAGAACCCTGCATAGGGCTGTTAACTCCTGGTTGAAATGTTTTCTGGAAAACTATACGGTTAACCAGCCGGCTGCATCACGCCGCAGCGGGGAGCTGCTCCAGCCGGGCCGGGCGCCGGTTAACCAGCTGCTCCCATCACGTCGCAGCGGGGAGCTGCTCCAGCCGGGCCGGGCGCCGGTTAACCAGCTGCTCCCATCACGTCGCAGCGGGGAGCTGCTCCAGCCGGGCCGGGCGCCGGTTAACCAGCTGCTCCCATCACGTCGCAGCGGGGAGCTGCTCCAGCCGGGCCGGGCGCCGGTTAACCAGCTGCTCCCATCACGTCGCAGCGGGGAGCTGCTCCAGCCGGGCCGGGCGCCGGTTAACCAGCTGCTCCCATCACGTCGCAGCGGGGAGCTGCTCCAGCCGGGCCGGGCGCCGGTTAACCAGCTGCTCCCATCACGTCGCAGCGGGGAGCTGCTCCAGCCGGGCCGGGCGCCGGTTAACCAGCTGCTCCCATCACGTCGCAGCGGGGAGCTGCTCCAGCCGGGCCGGGCGCCGGTTAACCAGCTGCTCCCATCACGTCGCAGCGGGGAGCTGCTCCAGCCGGGCCGGGCGCCGGTTAACCAGCTGCTCCCATCACGTCGCAGCGGGGAGCTGCTCCAGCCGGGCCGGGCGCCGGTTAACCAGCTGCTCCCATCACGTCGCAGCGGGGAGCTGCTCCAGCCGGGCCGGGCGCCGGTTAACCAGCTGCTCCCATCACGTCGCAGCGGGGAGCTGCTCCAGCCGGGCCGGGCGCCGGTTAACCAGCTGCTCCCATCACGTCGCAGCGGGGAGCTGCTCCAGCCGGGCCGGGCGCCGGTTAACCAGCTGCTCCCATCACGTCGCAGCGGGGAGCTGCTCCAGCCGGGCCGGGCGCCGGTTAACCAGCTGCTCCCATCACGTCGCAGCGGGGAGCTGCTCCAGCCGGGCCGGGCGCCGGTTAACCAGCTGCTCCCATCACGTCGCAGCGGGGAGCTGCTCCAGCCGGGCCGGGCGCCGGTTAACCAGCTGCTCCCATCACGTCGCAGCGGGGAGCTGCTCCAGCCGGGCCGGGCGCCGGTTAACCAGCTGCTCCCATCACGTCGCAGCGGGGAGCTGCTCCAGCCGGGCCGGGCGCCGGTTAACCAGCTGCTCCCATCACGTCGCAGCGGGGAGCTGCTCCAGCCGGGCCGGGCGCCGGTTAACCAGCTGCTCCCATCACGTCGCAGCGGGGAGCTGCTCCAGCCGGGCCGGGCGCCGGTTAACCAGCTGCTCCCATCACGTCGCAGCGGGGAGCTGCTCCAGCCGGGCCGGGCGCCGGTTAACCAGCTGCTCCCATCACGTCGCAGCGGGGAGCTGCTCCAGCCGGGCCGGGCGCCGGTTAACCAGCTGCTCCCATCACGTCGCAGCGGGGAGCTGCTCCGGCCGAGCCGGGCGCTGGTTAACCAGCGATGCAGAATAAATGTTGTTCTGTGCACAGAGGCACGTGTGGATGTGCCCCACCACCAGACACACGCTGCCGCTGAGGGCGCTCTGCCAATCAGCCGCCCTAACACTCAGATGCCATTGCCCTTCAGCCACTGGGCACACTCCATGCAGCCCAGGGAAGAGCCAGCTCCAGCACTCACCGTCCGAGTCGATGCTGTTCAGGGCGGTGGGCGGGATGATGGAGACCTTGTACTGCCCCAGGGGGCACTTCCTCCCAAAGAACTCCTTGCAGGCGCTGTGCACCTAGAGCAGGCAGAGCAGGAGAAGGCTGAGCCGGCGGCCAGGCGGGCGGGAGCGAGCCCTGGTGCACACAGGGCTACGTCTCTGCGCCCACAGCCGCAGGCAGGGGCAGGGGCGGGCA